CCCTCACGGCACGGCGTGCGCCCTCACGGCACGGCGTGCGCCCTCACGGCACGGCGTGCACTGCTGTGTTCTGGTATTTACAAAGCGTGGCTGCCACTCGTTAAATTGATTTCCCTGCCTGCCTAACGGGTCTCAGTCAGCAACATGAAACCAAAAAAGCTCTGCTTTGGGGATGTTATTGTACCCAGTTTTCGGATGGGAAAACTGAGACTTAGCTGGGGTAAATGAGGCCCATGCGTAGGATCAAGTGATCGCCTGGAGAAAGTACAAGAGGACAGTGCCGAGAATTTCGAGCTGTAGTGTTTTAGTCATTTGCCAGCCCCTTCCTCTTGCAGATGAGGAAACTGAGGCTCAAGAAACATGTGAACATGTGACTTGTCTAAGGTCACTGTGTGTGAGGATGGGGTTGGATAGATATATGTTCCCCAGTTCTTCCTGCAGGATTCCACCTTCACTAGCAGGATCTGTGTTTGGTCCCAGCAAGCTGGCATTATGTGTAAATGTCCCTTTCTCTCTGTCTTCTGTGTGTCCCTCTCTTTTCCTTGATGTCTGGTATTGTTTCAGGGTTGTTTTGTGTGGTGTATGTTACTGTTCTCGAGCACCTCTGCTGTCTTATATATCTGGTGAGTTCTATTTAGCACTGTGCTGCCTGTTTTTGTGGGGTGTTGTGTTTCTTCTGTGTTCTGTGAGTCTGCACAGTGCTGGTGGAAGGGCTGGCACCTGTGTCTGGACAGGTAGCTGGCTCCCAGCTTGAGCAGCTGTCTTGCAGGTGGAGCAGCAGCCCCACTTACATAGGGTACTCTCTGATGCCCAGGACGACATGGCTGGAGATGAGGAGTGCCCTGCCTGGCCCGTCCCTGCAGGCTCATTCCTCTGCTGTTCAAGGGACAGCGCCTAGACCCTCAGGGCTTGGCAGCTTGCCTGCCCCTCTGTGGACTGCAGGTCACCCAACCGGTGTATTCTCTGGCTGCTTGTCCCCATGGACACGGAGGCAGCCATCCTTGCTCACGTCAGCCGCCATCCCCGGATGGCGACCCCAGCAGGTCCTGCGGCTTACCTGGCACTGGGAGAAGAGCAAGCAGAGCGCCACCAGCAGAAGGCAGGTGTTCGCATGGTGGCAGCAGGTTGCCGGATCTCAGAGAGAAGGAGGCTTCCCAGAGGCTGAGCTGACACAGGCGTCAGAGCACAGAGTGCCCCGTATTTATAGGGCTGCAGGATTGCACAACCTCACAGCTGGCAGGAGGTGTTGCAATCCAGAGTGCACTTCTAATATCTAACCTTCCTGTCGTTCACCTGAGTAGTGTGCGAGTCACGTGGCTCCTGGGCCCTGTCCGGCTGCAGCTGGGTTTACTTTTCAGGCCTGGGGACCTGATTCACTCTCCCGCCTGGTCTGTTTGCTGTCCGAGGCTGGGCAGTCTGATGAGGTCCCCAGGAAAGGCCTGTCACGTTGGAACCGCTGCTGGGGAGGAGAGGGCATGTGGGGGCTCTGGGCAGAGGTGTGCCTGCCCCCCCCCCGTGCACGCCGTGCCGTGAGGGCGCACGCCGTGCCGTGAGGGCGCACGCCGTGCCGTGAGGGCGCACGCCGTGCCGTGAGGGTGCACACTGTTTTGTTACACTCAGGTTTCATTCTCAGGTGTGTGTGTGTGTTTTCCCTGAGCGGCAACAAGAAATTCCTTTCTTACAATAGTTCCATCCAAACTACAGAGCTTTTCAAAGCCACTTTGCTAACACAAAGACTTTTGTTTTCAGTCTGCACCATCTAAATATGATTATGAGCATCTCATGCAAAGAACAGGAAATGAAACAGTGTTTCCAAGGGTGAGCAGGGAGGACTGAACTCACTAACACCTCTGAGCACCCTGGGTCCTGCAGGCCCAGCACCACCTGGAAGGGGCCGCACTGACCTGAAGTTCCTGCTGGGGTGTTCCGTGTTGCTCTGAGTGTCTTCTGCATTGAGACGTGTAGTTTTCCCAACTTGCACCTGCTGGGCCGAGCTGCAGGCCCTGCTCCCAGGCACTCTGCTTCACTCTTTAGGCGCCGTTTCTGTTGGTCATGTTGGCATGTTGTCAGTGGCCTTTTTGCTGCTGCAGCTGCAACCTGGTTTGCACACCCACGGAGCTGTGCTGACCATGCAGCTGGGAGTTCAGAGCAGGGGCGGGCTCTCACCCTGGCCACATGCCATTGCCCACCCCGAGCCCTCACGAGGGATCGGTCCACTCCCCTTCCTGGAAGGAGATTAATGTCCTATTTTAGCAGTTTTCCATCCTATCAGGAGGAAAAATGGGTGGCCCACTTTTATCTTGTGCAAATGGCCTTTCTTGAACATAGAACAATGTCAAAGGACCTAGACAAGAACGCAGCTGAGGCCTCTGGAAACCAAGGTAGTTTGAGGCTGTCCTTTCTCCAATGCAAATATTTAGTGAAAAGCTACTTCGTGCAGGCATTGCCAGGGAATGGGGAAAGAGCCAGGAACACATAAGAGCGCAATCTCCTGAACTTCCATCCCAGAGCAGAGGACACAAAAAGCCCAGGCATTAATGTGATTTACTACTACTGTCGGCAATCATATTGGGAAAGCACTGGGTGCCCAGGGAGCTGACCTGGCCTGGGAGGGTCAGGAAAGGCTTTCTGGAGGAGGCTGAGAATTACATGAGGAATGGAAGTAGTTTTAGTGTGTGCGGTTTTAAAATAGAACATTAATTCTTTTCCAACGCTTAAATATTGGGATATGTCACCTATGGTGTTGATTTGTATCTTTTCTTAAAAATGCAGAAGCTGTGCAGCATCCCTCCCTGGCAACAGTGACCTGCAGACGGCTGCCCACAGCCAGGGCCCCGCAGGTCCCCACCACTCCCTGTTGCCTCCCTGGGCCCACTTTGTGCATTTCCGTGAAGCACCCGCCAGCTGGGGCACCTGACTGTGCAGCCCTGAATTGGATAAACCGCTGTAGGGGAGGGGCAGGTGCACAGCAAGGCCGGCACATGGGAAAGCCCAGGGATACAAGAATGAAAGCAAAAGCCACTATTGCCACTTGGTGGGTAAATGACCTGGCCCAAGTGACATGACTGGCAGGAGGCAGCTCAAGGACTCAGACCTGCAAGCCAGGGCCCTGGGATGGGCTGGGTCCGGATCAAGGGGGCCCCACTGGGCAGGACATGTGTCTGAGTTCAGGTGAGTCCCTAAAGGTTTCCAGAGGGGACAGCGACAGAATTGGAAGCTGCTTTTCCAGCGTGCACTTTTCTGCGGTGTACACGCCACATAGGGGAGAGCAAGAGGGGTTGGGGCGGCAGCTGGGGCGTCCTGGCAGCATAGCAGTTTCTCCCAAAACCGCACTTGTTCCCAGGCCACCAGCACTTCAGGGCAGCAAGAGGAGCCCAACCTGCTGACGCAGGCGCTGGTCTTTCCTCAGCAAGCTCTTTCCCCTCCCCTCCACAACCCGGAGACGCACCTGCTCAGCCGGGCCCGCTCCTCACGGTGCACCGCAGGGGCTGGCAAATGTCCCCAGCCCGCACATGCTGTGGGGCCTTCACTCTCCACCCTCCCTGCCCCACACCTGGCGTCTCGCCCTGCAGTCCCCACCCCAAGCTGCTTGCTCTAATTCCTTCCACCTCTGGCCTCTGGCGACAGCTCCCAGGAATGTGCACGGCTCTGGGCCCTGGGTTCCACCTAAGAGACTTGCTCCTGCCTTTCCCGGACACGCCGCCTCTGAGCCGGGCCAGACACAGGCGCCCGGAGAGCAGCTCAAGGGAAGCAGCTCCTCTCAAAATAGCAGTCACGGAGACTGCAGGTGGTCCCTCACGGCTGAAGGAAGCAGCTCTGTGGACATCGCCCCAGCTGATGCCCCCAGCATCTCCATTCTGCAGGGACGACGGTTCCATCCCGCTTTTGTAGATCTTTTTATACTGAAGCTCAGGGAGGTTCACTTTTCAAATACCCACCAGGTCTGTCCGAACCCTGTATTTGTTCCTCACACTTCCCAAAGACCTCGGGATAGGTCACCAGTCACAGGGACCTATCTCCAGGATAATCTAGGAATTGCATGAAAAAAAATTCAGGAACTTAGCAAGAGGCGTTGCAACTATTAACAGCTGGCGTCAGTTTCCGGGTGAACAGGGGCTTCCTGTGCTGCCTGGATGCAGAAGAGAGCTTTGGGTCTTGTGTTCTAGTCCAGTTCGGCCTGGAATTTTGTTCTGTTTTGCAGGAGTAGCACACATGTTTGATTGTATCCCCAGATACTTTAAAAAGATTCAGGGAAGTGTAAAGTCAAGTCCAGCCCTGTCCCGCATCCACTGACTGCTCCTCCCCCAACCCCGATGCCTACCTGGGCCACAGCCTCAATCTTAACACCCCCAAGGGGAGGGACACACCTGATCCAGGTCCTGCCCCTGGCACCACTGCCCACAGTCACCTTGTCCTGACCCGCGGAAAGAGCCTGTGTCAACTTACCAAGGCCCAGCAGGTCCGACAGGCTCATCCCTCACCTGCGACCACCTGGAGCTGCTCCCCACTGCCAGGCCACTTATTTGCCAGTGGGGGAGGCTGCAGCAACCGCTGTGACATCCAGACTGTGCACCTGAACCTGCATCTGCTCCTCACAGGCCCAGGTCAATCGGTCACGTGGGCACCTTGGGGGCTCTGCTGACCCGCTGGAAGGCCCGACTTCCATGCCGGCCCAGTCTCAGGTGGGAGACGGGGACCGAGTTCCGGCCTCGTCTTCCCCAAAACACTTCCCGCTTTGGCAGTTCAATCCTGCCTCAGCCTGACAGTCTTTTAGTACAAGAAATGTATATTTTAGTCAACAGGTCTCCAGTTTTCCCTTCTCCTATTCTTCCCAAACGTGCCCTTTAGCTCTCACTGTATAATGCAAAGCCACTCTCAGAGCCCACACAGGGGCCCGGGTGGGTTTAGAGAGCAGGGACCAAGCACGAGAATTATCAACAGCATCTCTCCCCTTCCTCCTGTCTCTCCTTCTCTGAAAGTTTCTTTAGCACATTTTATTTTCACAGCTTCTTTAAAATATAAAGCCCAAGACGTGTTCCCAGCGTGTCTTTTGCCTCTCGGCCTCCGAGGTCTTTCTTCCTGGAGCCACAGCCGGCCGTCTGGCCCGGGCGGCCTTAGCCTTGCTTGGGAGCATGAAGACCGTCGTCCGCTCTCCCCATTGACAGAATTATTTTCGGACACCATGAAAGTCCAGCCTGCCATGTGCTCTCGGCTGTGAACCCGCCTTCCCTCCCTCCCACTTTCCCCCATGGTGACCCGTCAGCACGCAGGTGCTTGTTCGTTTCCTGCCACGTCTGTAATTACAGCCATCCTTCCTCCAACCCACACCCATCACTACACCCGATTAGAAAAGCAGTTGGTGTTTCAGGGGCACTTAGGCAGGAGGGCTGACAAGCCAGTGCAACTGGCCTAGTAAACGTGTTGTTTTTTCAGCCACGAGCACAGAAACTGGCACAATCCTCCTTTCCCCACACGCCTGCCCCCCACACGCACACCTGTCCGCACTTCGTTTCTTACCTGTGAGGGAGCTGTCTCTTCCCTGTGTCCCTCTGGGCCACGAAACCGCAGAGGCTGCAGCGACGTGTTAGCTCATAGTCCTCGGTCCAGCTCAGCGAGGACCGAGACGACAATGAGTGCCGAGTTCAGGTTCAGGGGGAGTGTTGTCTCTCCTGGGAGGGTGAGAGGAGAACGGAGCTGGGAGCTATCCAAGGAGCCCGGGTGCCCAGGGAGTGGACAGAAACACAGCGATGCTGGAGAGAGAGAGAGAGAGAGAGAGAGAGAGAGAGAGAGAACGCCAGACCTGCACACGCTGCAGCTGGTCCCTGGCTCTGGGAACGTGCGGGAGACCTTTTCAGAAGCAACCCTGTTTTTACACATACTTTTCAAATTGCATAAACGTATTTTGTTTTCATGGCTTCTTTAATATAAACACCAAAGATTCCTCTCTGTGTTTCCAACGTTTCCAACCATTACCTAAAACAATCATTTAAATTTATAAAACATCACATGCATCCAGAAGGTACATAAAGCGTGAATGGACGGCTCAGTGAGCTGTGAGCAAGCACCCCTGTAGCCACAGCGGCCAAGAATTGGGATTTGCTGGCACCTGGGAAGCCCTCCTGGAGCTTCCTCCATGAAAACCCCCTCCTTCCCCCTAGGGTAACCACTCCATTGACCTTCATGGCAATACCTTCCTACGTTTCTTATACTTTTACTGCACTAATTTTCAGACTGAATAACACAGCTTGGTTTGTGCACACGTTTCCATTGGCCCAGGGGAACCCTTATGATTCTGTTTCTACGTGCCCAAAGGTGGACTCGCCAGATCAAGGGATACGAACATACTTGATTTTAGTAGATGATGCTAAACTGTTTTCCAAAACTGTTCATACTAATTTGCACTCCCACCGTCAGTGATGAGAGATTCCCTTGTTCCACATCCTTGCCAACATTTGAGAATATCGATCATTTTTCAATTTTAGCAATCTTGTGACAGTAGTGGTACCTCACTGGAAATTTTAATTTGCATTTCCCTGATTAAAAAAAATAAGTTGAATGTTTTGTATATAATGACTGGCCACCTGGATTTTTTTGTAAAATACCTGATTGTCTTCTGCCATATGTTCCACCAGATTATCTGTCCGAATCAAAGGCAGTCGTTCTCTGTGTATTCCGTATGCAAGCCTTCCTCAGGTGCATGTCACAAACCTCTTCTGTCTTGATTATTTTACTCTCTTAGTGGAAACTTGCCTTCAGCAGAGGTTTGAATGATGAGTTTCATATAGTCAAGTGTGTCGTATCTTAGTGATGTTTACTTAGTGATGTTTAGATCTTGCTGAAGGATTATTTCTTTACCCCCAGGACATGAAGACTGTCCCCAGTATTGTCTTCTAAAAGTTTATTGTTTTTTCCTTTTACTTTTGGGCTTATAGTTCATCTGGTAATGGTTTCCACATGTGTGTGCGTATTTGCTGTGAAGTAAGGCTCAAGTTCTTCTTTACTTCCAGGGTGAACATCCGACTGTCCCAGAATCAACTACTGAGAAAGCTATTTTTCTGTGCTGTTCTCATGAGTCACTGCTATTCCACATCAGTTCTCCGTGTGTGCCTGAGTGTTTTACTACCCCCTTTATTCTGTTCTACCAGTGTATTAATCCATCCTGTGTCATTGCCACACTCCAATAATTGCAGAGGCTCTATAATTAGTCTGGAGATCCTGTCGAACAAGTCCTCCCTCCATCCTCTCCCACCCTGTCTTAGCTATTCTTGGTCCTTTGAACTTCCAAGTAAAGTCTGTAGTTAGCTTGTCAGGATACCCTGAAAGAACCTCTTGGGATTCTCATGGTATTGGGTTGACTGTTGGACTGAGCGAGTGCTTCAGACAACTCAATCCCTTCCCAGCCCCTGAGACAGATCACATGCAAATTTCTTGGAAGAGAAAATTCCTCACTCTCGTGCTTTGCAGAATTGCTTGTCCTGCTTTCAGCAAATGTTCATCATTCTGGCTGCCTGCCATGAGTCTGACGTGTTTTTTGTTCCCTCCTTGCAGGTGACAGCCTTGTCATCGGCCATAGACCTGACCATTACAACTGCTACAAGAGCGGAGGCACCTGTCTCTATTCCTCGTGCCCGATTTTCACCAAGGCTACAGGCACCTGTTACCTCGGGAAGGGACACTGCTGTAAGCCCAAGTGAGATGGGCGGGTTGTGGAGAACCAGCAGAGCTGCCGAGGGAACTGTCTGGAACCATTCTTTTAATAAAAGCAGCACACTGTTCTGAAGTGTGCTTCCTTCAGAGCAAATTGAACTTTGTGTCTCCCTTGGAAAGGTCTAGAAGGTAGGGGGTTGGGCTGCGGGGCATGGACAGGACAGACCGCAGAGCCTGCCTGGCGCAGGGGAAGAGTTAGGGCCGGAGCAGTGCCGGGTCCCCTTCATTTCTCCACCAAGCCAGCACGAGAGGCAGGCAGAGGCGCGTGAGGTTGATGAGGCAGCACATGCGACTGAGGGTCCAGGATGAGGCAGAACCGCACGTGGGCAAAGCCCCAGCACTGAACGCTGACGTGGAGAAAAGTCACTCACTACCCAGAAACACCCTTAGTAAACCACTGTGTCAGCGAGAGAGCACCTTCTGGGTTCAGTCTCTGGGCTTTGATGGCTCGTTAGTTACCACGGCAGACGTTGCCCTACCTGTTAGACATGGGCCCGGTTGTAGTCTCCAACCCAACACTGGTGACAGGTGAAGTCCCCCGAGGACACCTGCACAGACCTAGGGGGCAACTAGAGCCAATGGGAGCAACAGACCAGAATTCTACAGTTGTTGGGAAAATTTGATTGAGGAATTAATGAGATGTAGCTCATACGACCATTATTTTATTTATAACCCAATATTACTATATTAAAGACAGAAACAGGAGTTTGCAGGATTTTGCCCTGAAGGAATGTGTGAACTCAATGGTTCACTTATTAGAGGCTGCTTTCATGGGAGAGCTCTCAGATCTCCAGTAGGAATGTTTTCCAAAAAGGCTTCCCAATATCTCAAAATGTATTAGGTTCCCTAATGTCTTAAAAGACAAAGCAAGGCAAATATGGCCCATAGGATGAGAGCCAGAGACAATAAATAAGTGCCCTTTGCCCAAAGATGCACCCCAATGTTTATAAACAGCCTGTTTTACAAAGATAGGTTTCCTGCTCTCTCCTATCTGCCTTCCTTTAAGTCCACAATTACTAATCAAAAAAATGTAGTCACTATACCTCTACTGTTATACCTTTATTAATTGACAACTACCTCTTAAAGCTTAAAAGTTAGCCCATAAAAGACTTTATACCTATTTATTCACCTAGATAAAATAAAAGCCCTTTAAAAAGACTTTTGACCCCAATCCACTACCTGCCTCCCCTAGCAACTGCATTCCCTAATATACAAATATATTACCATGAGCACTAATAATTGATGTCTATAATTATAAAAATGTGTATCTAACCATATTGCTAGACGTTCATAAAAATATGTCCAGTCTCCTAAATAACCCTGCTGTTATATCTAATCTTTTTATATAAAACTATAAACTATAACTTAGCCTCTATATATTCTTTTATTCTCTCTATTTCCTATCAATTTCCTTATCCTCTATGGCAACCCCTATCTAAGACACCTGGCTCCATAAAAAAAAAAAAACAGCTAATCTCCTCATAGGTCTGCCCTGGCTACTTCCCCACATACAGTGAGTTCACTGGGGGAGGCAGGGACCCCAGGAGTTGCAGTGTATGATTAAACAGCTGCACAAATGTCACAAAATGAGGACATAGTTTCCAAAAAAGGACTCAGAAAAGGTTCCATAGAGCATCTCAACAACAGAGTTGTGGTGCAAATAGAAAACTATTTCTTACTTTTCCACTTTAGATTTAACCGCAGGTGACACACAGAGATGTTGCTATGGTTACAGATTAGAACGCGACGGCTGCGGGTCTGGAACTACCAAAGCATCATGGCAGGGGTTGGAAGGGGGACAGGGAAGAAGAGAGGGAGGCAGAGGTGCGGGGGTGCTGTCTTGTCATACGCTGCTGGGAGGTCAGGGATGTTTCTCAAGTTGTTGCATAAGAAATGCATGTATAAGCGTATTGCATACAGGCATGAATAAAACCAATACAGGACTCATAATTTGGAAGTAAGAGGAGAAGTGGGTTGGGCAGTGTCTTAGTGTGTTTAGGCTGCTGTAACGAAAATGCTGTAGTACGGGTAGTTTTGTAGCAAACATTTCTTTCTCGTGTTCCTGGAGTTTCCATAGCCCAATTCTATGTCTGGTGAGGGCCATTTTCCTGACCCACACATCAGCACGAGCCCATGGCCTCAAGGCTGCAGTGGGCAAAGGCATTTACCAGTGCTCACCCTCTTCCTGCCCTCATGGCCGGGACAGCCTCTGCCCACAATTCTTCTAGCCAAGGTTCCTTTAACAATGCTCTTGCCCAGAACCCAGACACCACACCTGCCCAGAGCCAGTCCACGCATTCTGCTCCCCGGGAGCGGTTATACCTTGAGGGCCTTACATGGAGACCCATCAGACTGCCCAGCCTCAGATACCAAAGAGACCAAGCGGGAGGAGTGGACTCAGGTCCCCAGGCTGAAAAGTAAACCCAGCTGCAGCCAGACGGAGACCAAGAGCCACATGACTAGCACAATACTCAGGCAAACAACGGGAGAGTTACATACTAGAAGTTCACTCTGGATTGCAACACCTCCTGGCAGCTCTGTCTCTCAGGCTGTGCAGTCCTGCAGCCCTATAAATACGGGACACTCCGTGCTCTGGACGCCTGTGTCAGCTCAGCCTCTGGGGAAGCCTCACCTTCTCTCTGAGATCCCGGGTCCAGCCTGCTGCCACCATGCGAACACCCTGCCTTCTGCTGGTGGCGCTCTGCCTGCTCTTCTCCCAGGTGGCCCCAGGTAAGCTCCAGGACCTGCTGGGGTGCCCCAGCCACCGGGATGGCGGCTGAGGTGAGCCAAGGATGGCTGCCTCCGTGTCCTCAGGGACAAGCAGCAGGAGAACTACACCGGTTGGGTGACTTGCAGTCCACAGAGGTGGCAGGCAAGCTGGCCAAGCCCTGAGGGTCTAGGCGCTGTCCCCTTGAACAGCAGAGGAATGAGCCTGGCAGGGACGGGGGCCAGGCAGGGGCAGCTCCCTCACCTCCCAGCCCCCATGTCCGTCCTGGGCGTCAAGAACGTACCCTATGTAGATGGGGCTGCTGCTCCACCTGCAAGACGGCTGCTCAAGCTGGGAGGCCAGCTACCTGTCCAGACACAGGTGCCAGCCCCTTCCTCCCCAGGGCACTGAGTGCAGCCTCCCAGACACCTGCCGCAGGCAAAGTGCCACCCCTCCCCCAGGCCCTACTGACAGGCTAGGGCAGCCAGTGCCTTGGACTCACCTCTTGTGCAGAGGGCAGGGTGCCCGGCATTGGTCCTGGCCCCCTGAGAAACCAACCATGCTCTCCAGGTGACAGGAGTCTCCCAGGCACCGGGAAGGGGCTTCCCAGCTGACTGGAGGATCCCTCCTTCTCCTGCGAGGATGATCTGTGTTGCTCTGAGTGTCTTCTGCATTCAGACGTTTGCCTTTCCCAACGTGTACCTCCTGGGCCGAGCGGCAGGCCCCCTCCCAGGCACTCTGCTTCACTCTGTAGGCGCCGTTTTCCCATTTCTGCTGGTGGTGCTGTCTTGTTGTCAGTGTCCTTGCTGCTGACAACACAACACCGGAATGTGCAGCCCTGAATTGAATAACCGCTGTAGGGGAGGGCCAGGTGCACAGCAAGCCCGGCACATGGGAAAGCCCAGGGATAGAAGAATGAAAGCAAAATCCACCATTGCCACTTGGTGAGTAAATGACCTGGCCCAAGTGACATGACCGTCCTTTACTCAAGGACATGAAGACAGTCCCCAATACTGTCTTCTAAACGTTTATTACTTTTTCCTTTTACTTTTGGGCTTATAGTCCATCTGGAATGGTTTCCACATGTGTGTGCGTGTTCACTGTGAAGTAAGGGTCAAGTTCGTTTTTAGTTCCAGGGTGAACATCCGACTGCCCCAGAATCAAGTACTGAGAAAGCTATTTTTATGCACTGTTCTCATGAGTCACTGCTGTTCCACATCAGTTCTCCGTGTGTGCCTGAGCGTTTTGTGCCCCCTTCATTCTGATCCATCTGCATATTGATCTGTCCTTGTGTCTCTGCCAAACTCCCTTGATTGGAGAGGCTCCGTAATTAGTCTGGAGATCACGTCAAACAAGTCCTCCCCCGTCCTGTCCCACCCTGTCTTGGCTATTCTTGGTCCTTTGAAGTAAAGTTTGTAGTCAGCTTCTCGGGTTACCCGGAAAGAACCTCTTGGGATTCTCATGGTGTTGGGTTGACTATGAAGCTTCATTTAAGAAAAATGAACATCTTAAAAAATAATCTTCAAATGCTTAACATAGCATTTCCACTTATTTAGGTCTTTCTTCAATTTATTTCATAATGTCTTATCCCCTATGAATAGAAGTAGTACACATATTTTCTGAGATTCCATTGGCATTTGATACCTTATGCTCTTTGACATGGTATTTTTTTGGTTTTTTTAAATTTATTTCACAGAAATAGGAGAGCACACACATTTTGGGGGCATTTGATATCTACGCCTCTCCCTATCAGGGCTTAGAGGTGTGCTCTTCCCCTCCACGGTGCTCACCACATCCCTTGGATGTGGGTCTAACCCCCAAGCCCCCAATTCCCTGATGAACACCACCACCATTTGAGCACCATAGTGTTAATCACTCCAGTTTAAATTTTAATCAGTCAACTACCAATTTCATGGTGAGTATATTTGAAGCCCATTTTGCTGATCCTATGTTACCTCACTTTGGATACTGGGCTTAAGCTTAATCCAGGATGATATAAGCGGTGCTAGCTCACTGTCGTTTCTTACAATTGAGTAATATTCCATTGTAAATCAATATACACAAATCAGAGACATACATATATGCCGATAACAGTCAAGCTGATAATCAAATAAAACAATGCAATACCTTTTACTATAGCCCCAAAGAAAATTAATTATCTAAGATTATATTTAATGAAAGATACAGAAGACTTATATGAACAGCATTACGAAAACAAATTATAGAAGATGTAAACAGATGGAAAGATCTATCTTGTTCATGGATTGGTAGAATCAATATCATTAAAATGTCAATATTACCTAAAGTGATCTACAAAATAAATACCATCCCCATCAAAGTACCATCATCATTCTTTACACATCTAGAAAAAAATAATTCTTC